GGGGGAGGGGAACGGCAGCTTTGCTTGCCTGAGGGGATCGTTTTCGGGTGGTCCTCCTTTCTGGAAAGAGTTCAGGATAAGTGCACACTAGAAAAATAGTTGAAATAATAAATATTCTGCCTCCTCAGTTGTGGCTGCCAGTCCCAGACGGTCTTCTCCCTAGGAACTGCTGGATAGCTCAGTAGTGTAGGTATCTGGTGGCGAGGCTCAGGGTTGGGAGTTCAGTTCCCCACTGTGCCTCCTTGACAAGGACTAGGCTCAGTGATCCGTAAGGTCCTTTCCAGCTCTGCAGTTCTAAGATTATTTTATTCTAAAATACACTACCTGCAACTAACGTGGATCATAGTGTAACCAGCTTCTTTTTCTGCGTTTTCAGTGCATTCTCAGTAACTATGTCGGATCAAGAATGTCTGATGAACTCCTTGAAGAAGGAATTGAGGTCACTGCTGATAGCAACAAAAGATGGTCTCACCCCTTCTAATTTAGAACAAGAATTCAAGTCTATGATAGGGGAACAGCTTCCATTTCGTGCTCTGGGTTACAGCTCTGTCATGGAACTGGTGCAGGATATGCCTGATGTTGTTAATATATGCCCTCAGAGAAATGGCATTGTTATTCTCAAAGGTGAGTGCCAAAGCTAGTCTGGTGAAAAGCGGGGAAATATTTTGAAAGTTAAATTTCTGGATACGGTTTAAGATAGATGTTGCACTTATATGCTTTTTATGAAAAAGAGGGGCATGATATCTGCCTAATAATAACATCCCAGCAAGGAGCAAAACAGTTTTTCTAACAAAATTGATGCTCCCTTTGCACTTGTGTTGATGTATTTTAAAACATCTGTACTCTCCTTCTTGGCCAGAAAGACCCCTAAAGTGCATCAGAAAGAACAGCTTTAAGGTGGTATTGCTCGCAGCCATACAGTCTAAAAGACATGAACCAATTCTGAGAAAGGCAGCATATAAATAAATAAGTAAAAATCAATCAATAAATAAATGACAGCACTGGAAGCATTTGGGAGGAAGGAGATCAAAATGAATTGGAGAGATTTAGGGATTGATGGGTCATCAGTGGTAGTCATGAAATGCAGTTAGCAGTGGAGAATGCTGCATGTAGACAATGTAGAGGTGTGGAGTTCCTTTTCACATGCTTTCATAGTTCTGGTATATGGTAGTAGGGGTTTGTGGTCCAGACAGTGGATGAAAGGACTCTGGCTGCTATTTGTACTAATATTACAATAGCTAGTTTTACATCTCCAGCACTAGCATCTATAGGAGGCGGGCAAAAAGAAAAGGGTGGCTGGAGGAAGAAACAATTGCCAACATGCAACTTTGACCATAATTCTGTCTTTTAGCTATTGCAGATGAATCCACCAAGGAGATTGCAAGCTTGGTTGCCAAACAGAAAAGTAGGCCTAAGCCGCAGCCTCCCAGACATAAACTGAATTTCTCTCTTCATTGCACATCTCCCTCTGGATTGTCTCGGCGCTCCCAAATTTCCCCAAGATTACCTTGGCGGGGCCGAGTTCCTCCTACTTTGCCAGCAGCCGTAAGAAGTGAACTGAAAGACTTGCTGGGACATTCCCCTATCCTGCTGTCAGATTTTGATAAAGCCTTTGTTCAGCGCTTTGGACGGACATTTGACTTCATGCGTTATGGGTTCTTCTCTATGTATGAAGTGTTGAATGCTGCTTCAGATATCATCACAATTGTGCAAACAAGGACAGGTTCCATGTTGACGCTAAAAAAGAGTCTTCCTAAGAAAAAGCCAGTGAAACTGCCAACGTGTAAGACAGCATATGCTTAAATTCAGCTTGGGGGTGTGAGTATATGGGGAGGGAGAATGTGTATTAGTGCCTTGTACCTTCTTTTGCTTTACCTACTAGTAACATAGAAAGGTCCAACTGCTAAGAGCCCTGTGTAATTTTTTTTCAATTAAAGGCACAAACACTGGGCACTCAGTGCCTGAAATCCTTTTCCATAGAGTAGTCAGTTGATCTGCAGTAGGCCCATCGAATCAGTGGGGATTTGATAAGTAAACTCCTCCATAAGTTCCATTAATTTAAAACAGCCTAATCTGTTTTACATAGTAAATTACAACAGGATTAGACCCATCTGAATTACTAGAACTTGTGAGAAGTTGACTCACCATCTGCTTACTCCATTTGAAATCATTTCTTGCAACAGCTGATTGGACCCATTGCCAACAAGAGTGGAGTGATGAGGACGAAGCAAAGTAATTACAACAGGATTAGACCCATCTGAATTACTAGAACTTGTGAGAAGTTGACTCACCATCTGCTTACTCCATTTGAAATCATTTCTTGCAACAGCTGATTGGACCCATTGCCAACAAGAGTGGAGTGATGAGGACGAAGCAAAGTAGACACATTTGTTTTGAATCAGTTCTTAGTAATGTTCCTTATGTTACAAAGCTTGCACTCCATTGCAGCTCACTGTTGTGGGCAAAAAGGTACATATATATTCTGAATAGATAATTAATACTGATTTGTGCATACAGTGGTGCCTTGCTTAGCGATGTTAATTGGTTCCAAAAAAAAAAATCGCTATGGGAAAACATTGCTAAGCGAAACACCATTTCCCATAGGACTGCATTGAACGGATTACCGTCCTTAAATGAAAATTGCCATAGGAAACATCGCTAAGTGAAACGCGGTTCCCCCATTGGAATGCATTGAATAGGTTTAAATGCATTTCAATGGTTTTGACAGGTCCATTTTCGCTATTTTAAGTGTGTCTCAAAATGTTCAAAAACTGTTTAAAATGCTTGGAATCGTTAGTGCACCCTGTAAAACCTTTGCAAACTTAATTTGGCTTTGTTCTGAGTCTTCATTAATTTTTGGTGAATTCCCCCCCATTGGAATGCATTGAACTGTAGGTTTGACAGCTGTAAGACAAACATGGACTTACATAGAGTAAGTTCCACTGACTAGGATTTACACGTGAGTAGACATTCAGAGGATTTCTCTACAAACTTGTTAAAGGCAGTGTTGGGAATCTGAGTTCAAATATTGTGGGGCACATGAATTTTTTAAATACTGTATGTATGTTTTCAGTGGAACTTGGGGGGAAACTATGCTAAAATTAGTGTTCACAATGATTCTAACAGAAAGTAGCTTTCTTTTTTTAGGAATGGGATGCTTTACCAAAGGCAGATAATTGTCCTAAGCCCCACACATATTAGCAGATGAGAGAGTCATCTTGTACCTCCTGGTCAAGCATATCAATAATAAATAAAATGGTCTGACTTTGTGATCTGCTGCTGGCTTACATTGAGATACTGCTACTGAAGAGAAAGTACATAAAAATGAGTGTGAGTCTTCAAGTGTTGCCTGCTTAGTTAAAACAGAAGGGTGCCAGGTCAGAGCATGACTGAAATTCTTTCTTTGGCTTTGTTAAGGCAATGTCGTAGTTCAGCCAGAGAAACAGAAGCAGACTGTGCATGTTACTGTGCCAGCACCTCTAGTGAAGACACCTTCTCCAATATCTCTCCCGCCGATGGAGAATCAGCATGTGATGGCAAAACAGGAATCTGATCATTCACTTGTACATTTGAAAATGGAAACGCCATTAGCAAGACCTGTTGAAAGAATAAAACAAGTAGGTAGCAGAAATGTTACACTCTGGGAGTGACTCGCTAAGTTTGACAATACATTTTAAATAATTACAGCTTCCCCTGCACCATTTAACACCCACAGATAACAGTTTTTCAAAACTAGAAGTGGATTGCCAACCACATGCAGTTCTGTGTTTCTTTGACCTTTGGTTATCTTAATGGCCTTTGGAGGATCCCTGTGAGCTGACAGTTGCCCCACCAACCTGCAAAAGTTTCCTAGCTGTTCTCAGGTCTGGGCACTACAGCTGAAAGTTTTCCTTGCTCTAGGCAGCTGTTCTTCTGACGTCAGGTGAAAAGGAAGCAGTGCTGCTGTGGTTGAATGTACAGTAGGACCTCCTTATCTACAGGATCAGTATCTAGAGAAGAGAAGACTGAGGGGAAACATGATAGCAGTCTTCCAATATCTGAAGGGTTGCCACAGAGAAGAGGGCATCAATTTATTCTCCATTGCGCTTGAGGGTAGGACAAGAACTAATGGGTGGAAATTCACCAGAGGGAAATCCAACCTGGAAATAAGGAGGAATTTCCTGATGGTGAGAACCATTAAGCAGTTGAACAGCTTGGCTCCTGATATTGTAGTTGCCCTATCGCTGGAGATTTTTAAGAAAAGATTGGACAGCCATCTGTTCATGGTTTGAGGTCCAGATGGTATGAGGTCTCCTGCCTTGAGCAGGGGGTTGGACTAGAAGACCTCCCAAGATCTCTTCCAACCCTACGACGATTCTATGATAGGATTCTACTGATTCATGGTCTGAAAACATTAAAAGAAAAATTCCCAGAAATATGTATTTCTAATGATGTTATTACCAGAATATGTCACTAGAGGGAGTCAGAAATCATGCTAGGTATATAGTGTTTGCTATTAAAATAGCATTCACTATAATTGTGTTTTTCAGCATCTGCAGGAGGCACTTGGAATTGATCCCCCTTGGATACACGCATCCTACTGTAATTCACTGGTGGGTCCATGTGTGAGGAGGTGATTGCAGAAATAACTGGCCCTAGATTGTTCAGCACTTTACCAGAAGCTTAAATTGAGCCTGAAAACAAACAGTTTTGCAAGAGATTAATTTTTATCTTCCTTCCTATTTCCCCTCCCTTTTTAAAATGTAAGATACAGTTTGCAAGAATTCAAGAAAACTGAAATATCTTAGTAATAGGAACTTATGAAATACAGTGGGTCTCTGAGCACTAGCAGAGTATACAGTATGATTATGATATCTCCTCTGATGAAAATAACTTTTTGAGTCATTAAAAGTTTCATTTTTAAACCCATACTTCTCCCTACAAGAGCAATTTTATTTTGCTGTAAATGCAAATAAGACATTGGAAATAACAACTGGGTGAGAAAAATGTGAAACGGAGAAAAGAACTCTTCCCAGAGATGGCACTTGAAGCCAATAGACAAATTGTTGGCTTGTGTTGCTTCCGTGCAAGGCATTTGATGTAAAATAGCCTTGATTCACATTTACTAATTTTTTTAACATAGTATCTTCATGATGCCATTATAGAGTACTGTAATTGCTTTCCTGGATTTTTCTGGTGATGCATCTGTCTTTTCCTTGACTGTAGGAAGTCTGGCCTTTTAAGAACAACAGGACCAGGAGCCTGTTCTCTCAAACTACAGTAGGACCCCCTTGTCCACAGGATCAGTATCCACTGATTCATTTATGCACAGTCTGAAAATATTAAAAAATTTAAAGAAAAAAATCCAGAAAAAAACTATGTATTACCAGAACTGTCCATGAGAGGGAGCCATAGACTCTGCTATGAATACATAGTATGGTGAAAAATATATACTATGGGCTTTGTTGTTCTCTAGTGATCAGTTCTGGTAATCCATGTGAAAATATTCTTTTTCGGGGGTTTTCCTTTTACCTTGTGTGCGCTCTCCCTCACCCCCTCTCTTTTGTGTTTGCTGTTATCCATGGTTTTCAGTATCCATGAAGGGACTTGGCACCAATCTCCAGCAGATATGGGGGTCCTACTGTACTTGTGCAACGGAATGTAGCAGTTTGGTATTTATGCTCTTTGCCTAAGGAAGCAGCTAGTGCCTACTTTGGTAAGTCAGGTTTTCCCAGTGGGAGGCACCACTTGTGCAAGTGAGGTGGTCTTGCTTTACTCTGCTGGTGAGATTTTGCTGTGGATGGAGTATCAAGAAGATCTTTGCCCTGGATTTTTTCTGTGTTTTGAAAGCAGGAATAGAGCTCTGTCAGTGTTGGACTTTAATTTCCCTCAGACCTAACCAGCATAATTAGTGGCAAGGAATGCTGGTGGGTGGAGGACCACCCTGTGCCTACCCGTGATTTAAAAAGAAAGAGTTTAAAAAGAAAACATGTTGTTCAACATACTTTTATCGCTAAGTCGTCTTTTCATGCCTTCAAATGCTTTTATGGCTGTTTTTACTACGAAACTGTGTAACGTGTTAGTGGTAGGGCAAAGGAGTGTTAAGGGTGAGACTGAATTCTAAATATAGCTGTGACTGAGTGTTTTTAAAGAATGCTGGAGATTGAAAAGGGTAACTATTTTATAGCACTTTTTCTTCCCCAGTTAAATTGTTTTCATCTGCATCTCTAGTTGAGAACAACTACAAGAACGCTTTAAACAATATGTTATGCATTGTGATTGGGATTTCTGCTTAAATAGGTAGGTAGTTGGCACTGGTTAATGTAAACAGATTCAAGAATATTTTTTAAACAAGGAGTAATATATACAGTAAATGTAATAAAGCAGCTACTATCAAAAAAGTCCCTGAGAGAG